TAGAGCCCTCTTGGGTTTCCTGAGCTTGGGTGGTTTGGTCTACATTCCCTCCCCTCTCTATGGGCTGTCTCAGTGGGCACATTCCAGCTGAAATTAAATCACATTCCTTCTTCCCTGCCTGGCAAGGATGGCATTGCTGACAGCAGCTGTGACACCGCAGGGTCAAGTGGCAGCAGCTGGTTCCCCAAAGAGGGGCTGAGAAGGGGGGCTCAGGGGAGCTGAGGAACCAGGGCCTTTGGAAGCAATGAATGAGTCTTTGCTCTCAAGAGGCCAGAGCAAGAGGGGCAGACCCTGCCGCATAAGGGATAAAGGTGAGACCACAGGGCTTCGGAGGACGAGCCAGTCATACAGATGGGAAAACCAGGAGCTTTAGCACTCCATCCAAGAGGACCCTGGAAGGACACCCTCTCCTCACCCCTGAACTGGGCTCCCACAGCAGACATGAAGGCTCAGGGGCCCTTTAAGAGGCCCCACTCTGAGCTCCCTTGGCTGGAGCCCAAAATCTCAGCCTTTGATTTCCTCTGAGATTCTGGCAGCCATAGGGGCAGCAGGGACAGCATCAGGCTGGGCTGAATAGAGAGCTCAGTTCTGATCTCACCCTCCCTGGCCTTCAGCCTGCACCGCCTTATAAGGAAATGCCCCAAACAAATGAGGAAGCCACCTGGAGGGGGGGCATTCTGCCCCCACCCCACTCAGAGGCTATAATTACCCAGATGAGGCCCCAGAATAACCTCCCACTGGTCCTGCTGGTGGGGGGAGTATTCTATCTCCTCATTCCCTCCTCTGGAGGGGACTCCACCCTCCAAAGTGCTTCCTGTTGTTAGACTTCATCACGGTCATTCAGTCCTTCTTTAGTTCATTTATCCAATCCAGATTTACCGAGCACCCCTTGGCCTGCAGGCACCGGGCTGGACAAAGGCCTTGCTTTCTGGAGCTTTCTACAAGGACAGGATCTTCCCAGGTGCCTGGGTTCCCTGGTCCTCCTATTCTCTGGCCTCTCCTCCGCCCCATGTCCTCTCTGCCAGGAGTTCCCTAGGGGCTCTGTCTGGGTGACCTCTAGACCAACAACCCTCCAGTCCTCGTCCAATCTTGTCTTCTCTCCTGAGCTTCACATCTCCCCCTCCCCCAGGGCAGCCCCTCTTGGAGCTCAGTTTTCTGTGGGATTCTTCAGCTCAGAGATGGGAGCTCTGTCCCCAGCTGCCCAGGCTAAACCCAGGGAGCCTCTACTGCCATATCCCCCCATCTCCCACAGTGGGTCGCAAGTCCTGAGACTGCTGCTCTTCTGAGCACCCTCTCCATCCCCTGCCACCATCCCCCTACCTAGACTATTGTAGTAGCCTCCCTGAAGCACTCCTGCCCATTCTCGGCCATGCTCACAGTAGTCAAAGGCTGTTTTCTTGATCCTCAACCAAGGATATTTTTCTATTTATCTTCAGATAGAGTGGGAGGGAAGGAGAGGGAGAGAGAAACATCAACATGAGAGGAACACATAGACTGGTTGCCTCCTGCAGGACCCCGACCAAGGCCAGGGACAAACTGCAACCGAGGTACGTGCCCTTAACCTGAATCAAACCTGAGACTCAGTGGTCCCCAGGCCAACGCTCTAACCACAGAGCTAAACCGGCCAGGGCAGGTTAAAAAATTTTTTTTCTCCTTTATTGATTTTTAGAGAGAGAGGAAGGGAGAGGGAGAGAGAGAGAGGGAGAGAGAGAGAGAGAGAGAGAGAGAGAGAGAGAGAGAGAAACATCAATGAGAGAGAACATCAATGGGCTGCCTCCTGCAACCAAGGATCAGGCCCACAACCTGGGCATGTGCCCTGACTGGGAATTGAACCGGTGACCTCTTGGTGCATGGGTGGATTCTCAACCACTGAGCCACACCGGCCAGGCCAGAAGGTTGTATTTTCAGCTCAGTGGACCAATGAGTCGTGGATTCGATTCTGGTCAAGGGCCTGTACCTCGATTGTGGTGTGTCCCTGGCCCTGGTTGGGTCCTGCGGGAGGCAACCAGTTGATGTGTGTCTCTCACATTGATGTTTCTCTCTCCCCCTCCCTCCCACTCTATCTGATGATAAATGGAAAAATATCCTTGGGTGAGGATTAAAAATAAAATAAAATGCAAACCTGGCCCTGGCCTGTGTGGCTCGGTTGGTTGGGTGTCTTCCAGAGCACATGCCTGGGTGGTGGGCTTGCTCCGCGGCAGGGGGCATGCAGGAGGCAGCCTCTCGCATGGATGTTTTCTCCCTCCCTCTCCCTTCATCCCTCTCTAAAAATCAATTTAAAAAACTTAAAAAATAAAATAAAATGCAAACTTGGTCATGTTACCTCAGAGGCTCTGCATGTTCTTTAAGAAGAAGTCCGTATTTTCTGGCTGTCTGGTGAGGCCTTGGCCACTGTCCCCGATTCTCTCTCCAGTCTCACTATCAAACTTCTCCCTCTTCTCCACCCTCTGGCCACACGAGCCATCTTTCTGTTCTTCAAATGCCCAAGCTCCCTCCTCTTGCCCCAGGATTGCCCACCTGGTGTTCCCTCTGACCAGAATCCTTTTCCTCCCTCCTCTTCCTCCTGCCACTGAGCAGCTCCTGCTCATCCTCAGGGTCTCAGGGTAGCCTTCCCTGGCCACCTCCTCCCATCCTCCTTCAGCCCAGGTCAGGCAAGGTCTTCTGCTCTTTGCTCCCCTTACTTCCTGAATTTCTGTTTTCAAATAGGATTCCACTCAAAGCCCTTATTCAATTAGAAGATAAAGCTTCATGAGTGAGGAACCTAGTCTCCCAGTGCCTGCATTGTACATGGCACATAGTAGATGCTTAGTAAATATTTGTTGAAAAATGACAATCACTCCTGTTCTTGCCACCGGGAGTGTTCCTGTTATTGTCAAGCCTGCATTTCTCTTGCTGTATAGACAGAAGACCATCTCCAGAGAGAACACACCTCCCACCACATACCCCCTTTAGGAAAGTCCTCACTTTTGTTAACTTACATCCCTCCTATTAGGGATTGTTAGAAGAATCAGCTGGTTTGGGTAACTCTGTGGGGGACCAGGGACCCTGGAGTGAGGGGCAGGATGGTCACCCGGGCACAGGGAAGGACTGCTTGGCTTGGCCTCTGTCTTTGGTCCCTTGCCCAGGCAGAGGTGCCCAAGGGCCTGGGGAGATCACACACAGGGCTCCTGTGTCCCATTAGAAGATCAGGGAGTGGGCCTTACTTGCCTGGATGCCAACGTGCTGGCCACCAGCCTGCCAGCCTGGCACGATCACACAGGGCCTTGTGAGGGGTGAGCACAGGAAGGAGAGGGTAGGCTTGGGCTGCCAGAAGGGTGGGGAGACAGAATCGTGGACCCCGAGGGCAGGGGTGTGTGTGAAATGGGGGCCTGAGTGTCCAAAACAGAGGCTCCTAAATGAAGAGGGAGAAAGGCATGGGCGAGAGGCAAACAGTGAGATTGTCAGGGGCCTCCTGTCCACTCCCTTCCTTGGCCAGGGGACATGAGTGGGGGCCAGATCGGCTGAGACTACATCCTCTCATCTTTCCCAGGCCCTCAGCCTGTTCCCAGACTTGAGATTGTCTCCAAATATGGAACATTTGTTTGGCAGCCCCATCCCACCCCCACTAAGGATATTTAGCCAGATCTTCCTTCCCCACTGAGCTGAGGTGGGGAGTGGCTTCTATGGGGTATCCAGATGTCAAGGCCTTCGAGCCCCCCCTAATCCAGGAACCTCTGGTCCCTCCCTGCCCTACACAGGGACCCAGAAAACTCCTGGAATGGGGATCAGGAGCTGTGGCTGTGTGCCTCTCACCCTTCAGCTACCCATGATCAACATAGCCCCAGCCCTTCTGTCTCATCCCCTTCTCACTTCCACTTTTCTGGCCTCCCTCTCCTGTGTCAGCCTGGGAGGAGAGAACTGCTGAAGGTCAAAGCCGAAGCCCTGCGGCTTCCCCTGGTCCTCCTCGTTCTTCCTGCACTGAGCGGGCCCCTGGAGCCACCCAGCCTAGGGCCCCTCATTGTGTGGCTGAGTCGGAGACTCAAAGAGATTAAACACTGACCTGAGGCCACAAGCCACACGAAGGCAGAACAGGCCTCTCTTCCCTCACCCCATTCTGACCCAGCCAGTCCTTGCAGACATTACAGGCCAGACAACTGTTTGGATTTGGGGGCAAAGGGGCTTATTATGCTGGCGGCACTGAGGGGTGGAGAGGAGGGCAGGCAAGAGTGGGGTGGCACAAGTCCTACTCCCTGTAATCAGCCTGTGGCAGAGATGACGGCATGCTCTGGCACTGAGGTCACCTGGATTGGCGCCCCCAGCCCTGCCCTGCCCGAGGCCCAGCGCTGCTGCTGGCAGCCTGTCTGTCTGCCTTGTCTCCCCCACAAGGCCCCCCAGGACATCCTCTCCTCAGAACAGCCCCTCCCCAACACCAGCATCTCCCAATGCTTTCCCGGTCTCCCCAGCTCCTGTGCTGGCCCAAAGACCCCCTGAATTGGGGAAAAGAGAGTCCAGTCTTTGTAGGTGGAAGCATTACTTTATTCAAGCAGGGATGAGCCAGTCAGGGCCACACAGGGGAGAAATGAGGGGTCAGGACAGGAGCACCCCCCTCACTGACCAGACATCCCATGAGGGTACAGTGAGGAGGGCAGGGCTGGTGAACCCCAGCACAAAGATCACCACAATCACCCTCTCGGAGGAGGAGCACTGGGACCCAGGCCTTTTCCAGCTGAAGGGACGGGAGGAAAGTGGAAGCAGGGGAAAGGGGCCTAGTCCTATCAGGATTCAGCTGGTTTAAACCTCATGGGACAGTGCAGGCATCATGTCCCCTTTGCAGGGTCTGAGGGGCTGGTTTTTATTCCTGGAGCCTCCATTCTTTTCCACACCCCATTTCACCTTGGCTAGCCAGGCCTCTCAGACAGAAACCACAGGTCAGGAGAGCATAAGTTAAGGTGCTGGTCCTGAGCAGGGAGGGGGCTTGGGGACATCCCCGCTCAATTCCAAGGGCAGGAGGAGCACTGTATCTAATCCTCTCCCGAGGACCAAGAATCTCCATCTCCTTCCCTCTGAGTGAACTTCAGGAACTGGCCTGGGCCCAAATGAAGAGGAGCCCCTGCCCAAGGGGTCTTCAGTGCACCCCCTTCCTCCTCCTCCAAAGGGCTCCCTTGATCCCCCTCAAGGGCTCCCAGTTTTTCCTGCCCAGCTCCTTCAGACTGCTCCAGCCCATTCACCAACGTTCCATTCACATGCTCCAACTCTTTCTTCAAGACTAGGCCTTGACCATTGACCCCAGGGGTATCGTCTGTCCCACTGGGGCCTAGAACTTGGTCATCCCTCTCCAAGGGAGCATCATCAGATTCTTCCTCTGAGCCAGAAGGCTCAGTGCTGTCTTGGGACTCAGCCTCCAGGGCAGTCATAGGGGGATCAGCTTCTGTACCCCTCAAGCCATCATCCCAGGGGACGCTGGTATCCGCAGTCTCAGACCCTATGAGGCTCCTGCTTTGAGGGCCACTTAGGGCAGGGAGACTGCCAGCAGAAGGCCCTGGCCCCCACTGCTCAGCCCCTGGCTCCCTCTCCTCCTCCTCCTCTTCTTCTTCTCCCTCCCCACTCTCTTCCTCATCTGCAAACCCATCAGACTCCCCATCCTGACCCCAGGCTGAAGGCTCCAATAGCAGCTGGGACACCTGGCCCAGAGGTTCCATCAATTCCCCAGGGACCCCAGGAAGGACAGAAGCCTCAGTCCCCACATCATCCTCAAATTCCTCCGACAGGTCAGAGTCCTGACCACATTCCTCATCCTCCTCTCCCCGCTCCTCCTCCTCTTCCTCCTTTGGGTGGGCCCCATGGTCCTCAGCAGTCAGAACAGCAAAATCCCAGCCTTCCTTTCTGGTTTCTCCTTGAGGGGAGGGCCTCTGCTCTCCAGATAGGTCCCATTTGGGTGAGGCAGGGGACCTGAGGTAGAGGGCTAGGGGAGTGGAGTCAGGAAGGGTCTCCCCTAGCTCATCAGCCTCACTCTCCTCTCTGCTCTCCTCCCCCTCATCCTGAAGGCCCTCAGGGATCCCCCCAGGACTCAACTCCTCCTCCTCACCCTCCACCTTTTCCAGGACTTCAGTCCTTCCCTCTAGCCCCCAGCTAGCTTCCTGATTCTCCTCCGCTAGGGGCTGGGGCCCTGGGGCATCTTCACAGGTTGGCATGAGTGAAGATGGCTCAGAGGGCCTTGGACTGGAGGGCCCTAGTGCTGGTTCTGCATGCTTCTCAGCTTCCTCTGACCCCAGAGACCTGGGTTGAGTGGTATCACTTCCATCATGGCACAAGATCTCAGCAGGAAACACCTCCTCTTCTCCCCAGGAGACCTCAGGCTCCAACTCCTCCCCAACCCCGTCTCCGCTCTTCTTGAGCAGTATGGGATGCTCTGGCTCCAGAGCAGCTGCCTCCTCTAGGTCCTTCCCAGACCCTTCCATGCCCTGCACACTCTTTGCCTCCAAACTTTCTTCCCCCAGGAGTGGTTCCATCATCTCCTCTCTGGCCAGGTGGCCTGGGTCCTCCAACCCTACCACCTCCTGCTCCAGTCCCTGCTCAGCTCCTGAAGCAGACTCACCCACAGCTGTTTCCAACCCCAAAGTGACCTCTGAGGAGGCTCGGCCACATCCTGGGGCCTTATCCTCATCTTCCAACACTGGCTCTATCACCTCTGACATTCCTGAGGGAGCTTGGAGGCCTGGGGCCCCCATGTGCTCTGGCTGCCCTTTAGGGTCCTGAAGGCCCTCAGTACCTCCCTCCCCACTGGTGCCCTCAGCTGGAACCCTCTGCTCTTTGGGTTCAGGGCTCTCTGGGTGCCCCTCACCTGTGCCGGTCAATTGCAGCTCTTCCTCCTCTGCAGATTCCTCCTTTCCAGAGAAGCCATCCTTTTCCCTCAGGTCCAGCTCTGCCGCATCCTCATGGTCCCCTCCAGCTCTCCCAGAGGGTGTTTCCTGATCCAGTTCTTGGCCCCCCACCACATCTTCCCACCTCTGCTGATTTGCAGACGGCAGCAGCTCCTGTCCCTCCTCTTCCAGAGACCTCAGTGACTCTTGATTCTCTCCCTTGTCCAGGCTTTCTTCCTCTTCTAGGTACTTTTGACTTTCCTTGTCTACCTCTTCTGGATATCTCAAATGTTCTAGGTTCCACTCTCCCAGAGATCCCAGTGATTCTTGATTCTTCTTTTCAAGAGGCTTCAATGACTCGTGGTTCTCTTCCACAGACCCCAGGGATTCCTGAATTTCCTTTTCTAGAGGTTTCACTGTCTCCCAATTCATTTCTTCCAGAGACCGCAATGGCTCTTGAGTTTCTGTAAATTTTAATATTTCTGGATCTTCTCCTGTAGACTTTAGTGGTTCTAGATTCTCTGTTTCTAAACATCTTACTGCCTCTACACTCTCTTCTTTTAGGGACCTTAATAACTCTTGAGTCTCTTTTTCAAAAGGTCTAAATATCCCCTGGTCTTTTTCAAGAGACTTCAGTGGCTCTGGTTTCACCTTTTCCAGAGGTCTCAATGTCATTTGGTCTTCTTCTTCTAGAGATCTCAGTGGCTGTTGAGTCTCTTTTTCTAGAGATCTCATTGTCTCCTGGCTTTCATCTTCTAGAGACCTCAATGGTTCCTGGTTTTCTTTTTCTAGAGATCTCAAGGTCTGTTGATTTTCTTCTTCTAAAGACACAGTATTTCCTTTTTCTAGAGTTCTCAGTGTTTTCTGGTCCTCTTCTTCTAGAGACCCCAGTGGCTCTTGACTCTGTTTCTCTAGAGCTCCCAAGGACTCAAAGTTCTCCCCTTCTAGAGACCTCACTAATTCTTGATTTTCCTTTTCTGGATATAAAAATGTCTCTAGGTTGTCTTCAAGAGATCTTACTAGTTCTTGATTCTCCTTTTCTAGAGATTGCAATGTCTGTGGCTCCTCTTTTCCTGTAGGCTTAAGCAGTGCTAGAGTCTCATTTTCTGGAGTTCTCACTACCTCCATGTCCTTTTCCTCTAAAGACTTCACTAGCTCTTGCTTCTCCTTCTCTAGAGATCTCAGTGTGTCATGGTTCTGTTTTTCCAGAAACATCAGTGGCTCTTGAATCTTCTCTTCCAGAGATGGCAGAGTTTCTTTTTCCAAAGGACCGTGAAAGTTCTGGATTTCCTTCAAATCCAGATCCCCCTCTTCTTGCTGTATTTGCTGCTGCGAGCTGCTTACCACTTTGACCTCTATGGCTATTTCTTTCTCTGCCAGGTCCCACATTTGCCCTTCATCTTCCTCCTGGAATTTGCTGGACACTCTAGTCTCACTAGGTTCTCCATCTTTGGCCTCTAAAATGGGGTGGTCAGGACTGAGGGGTTTGGCCGAGGAGGCATGCTCCTCAGGAGACTGGCTTGTACTGGCCTTTTGCTGCTCGCCCCCAAACTCCTCTGGTCCTGGCAGGATGCTAGCAGGGATGGCTACACTGGTGTCAGCCCATATGGCCTCTGGAAACGGTTGCCTCCCAGTCTGTGGCTGGAGCGCAGACACAGGGGCATCCTGGACTCTGATCTCTCCATCTGTAGTAGGGCAGGGAGCCTGAGGTGTGGGTGGGATGGGGGTGCTGGCCAAAGTGGGGGTACGGGCTTGGAGGAATTCCTGGCTCTTCAGCAAGGCTGGAACAGGTGTCTCAAGGGTATCACGTAAGGATAAGGAGAGAGGAGTAGGGCTCAAAACAGACAGCAAAGGTCCCAGACGCTGGCCCTCTGGGGTCCCAGGAAAATGAAGCTCTGGAAAGGTGGAGGGAAAGAAACAATGTCAGCATTGCCCATATACTGACACTAGGGTATGACACAGTGGTTGAGGGTTGACCCATGCAACAAGAGGTCACAGGTTCGATTCCCGGTCAGGGCACATGCCCAAGTTGTGGGCCAAATCCCCAGTGGGAGGCATGCAGGAGGCGGCCAATCAATGTTCTTGCTCATCGATGTTTCTATTTCTCTCTCTCTCCCTTCCTCTCTCTCTAAAATCAATAAAGAAAAAAACGATTATAAAAAAAGAATAAAAGAAACAGTGTCAGTATATACTGGCAGGGGTCACAGAGTAGTTTCCATTTCTGGCAAGAGTATCCATGGGCCCTGTCCTTGCCTACCACTATCTGGGCCAAGGAGTCAAGACTTAGACTGGTGCCTCTCAAGAAAAGAATTGCTCTGGGGTATGAAAAGCAAAGAAGAGTAGACTTTTGGGGAGGAGGAACCTGGCCTCAACTCTTACCCTGAAAGCTGAAGGAAACCTTGGAACCACCACCAGGTATCTGCAGTCGGGAGTTCTCAGCCTCTAGGAGGGTCCTGGGGATGAGGGAGGAAAACGGGGGTCAGCCTTCTGTCCACAGGCTAGTAGGCAAGCCAGTCAGAAAAATACCCTGACATTGCAAGCTTCCTCTTCATTTTTACCACTATTACACAAAAGCCATAGGTGGGGTTATACTTGACCGTTTACATGAAATCACATAATCATGTATCCAGACATCACACATTTGGTCACACAGCATCACACACATATTTGGGACACACAGATGAGCTCACAGACACACAAGCAGATTCCCACACAGCAGGCACAGTGTACACACACACACTTATTGCTTAGACTAGTCTCCTCCTCCCCACCCCAGACCAATGACTTCATACTTTGTGTGTGGGGCCCATTCTCATGCTAATTGCTGCCATTGTCCACACCACCATCTGGAAGGTCTAAGGAGGGGGCTTCCCAGGGGAAGTGGGAATTCTCAAGCTGTTCCCATGGGATAGGGTCCCTCCTCTTCCCCCTGGGCCCCAGGAGCGAGTCACAGAAAAAAACAAAAGAATTCATGCAAATCCTTTTCAGGCTTCAAAAACCCAGAGGTTAAGCCTTCCCCAGACCCTTTCCCTCAGTGGTTTGATTGGGGTCAAGGCCCTCATTTTGGGATCTCTAAGTACTCTGGATCCCAAGCCTTTCAGGGCAATGGAGGTCTTTGTGTTCATGCCCCTGCCTAGGAGCCCCATGGGGACAGAGGAGGAGGGGAGGGAGAAACAATTCAACAGGTTATGCTGAACATCAGCTCTGGACTCTTCCTCATGATCTGAGTCTGGTTAGTATTGTCTGCAGCCTCGCCTCCATCCTTCCCCATGCAGCATCCTGCCCTCTGAGCTCCTGCAACAGCTCCCCTCCTCATCCCTGGGTCCTCACACACCTTCTTCTCTTGGCCCTGCTTCCCCTCCCCTCCAGTCCTATGGCCCCTGCCTTTGTTGCCTGTGGATTCTAGGAGCACTGTCTTCAAGCTTGTCTAGCCCTGGCCCTCACAGTGGGCTTGGCATATGAAGCCCCTTCCTCAGGCTCCATCACTGAACCCTCAGCCAGCCAGGTCAGTTTCCCAGAAGAGGCTGTGAGTTTGCCACACAGCCAGAGAAGCAGCACCTCCTCAGTCTCCGCATCTCCTCTCCAACAGGAATGTGGCTAGCAGAAGGATAGGACCAAGGGACTAGGATTTGAGAGTAGTCAGGTCCCATGACATTCAGGATGGAAAGGGCCTTGGACTTCACCCAACTCATCTGCCATCTTCCAGACAAGGAGACTTGTCAGTGCAAACCAGTGCCACCTATCCACACCTGCAGTTCCTCCTTTCTGAGGTTGTCCACAGACGTTACCCCCTTGGTGTGAGCACATACACACAGAGACAGGCTTTTCAGACCCTTGGGGTAAGGGTCTGGATGCAGATGCCCCACATGTGTCCAGCCCTCTCTCCTTAGGCTGTCCCCCTCAGCAATATCACTTCTCTTTGGAGGATTTCCTGGCACAGGATACTCCTCTGGTCCTGAACCCACGGGGGATTAAGTGGGCTCAGGTGCGAATATCCTAGTGTGAAAGAGATCAGCCTATAGTCACAGAATGTAGTGGTGGCAGAGCTGCCACAACCCATGGCTCTGGACCCCTTCAGCTGAGGAGCTTCTGCCTTAGCCTGTATGTGTACAACTGTGTGCCTGGGTGGGTCGGGGTCAACCTGTACCTGTATGTGGCTACCTCCAGGCTGAGGGACATCTTGAGGCGTGCCAGCTGCTGCCGACCTTCCAGGACCTGGGCGATCTGACTCTGTAGGTCCTGTTTCTCCTGCTCCAGGGCCTCCATGGCCAGCTGCAGAGCAAGCCAGAAGCAGTCGGTAAAGGGTGGGGTCCTGCCTGCTGAATAACCTGCATCCCCCTGGCTGCTGCAGTAGCACCTTCTGCTCCTGACCTCTGGTGAACAGATTTCTGCCTCCTTACCGCACTCTCTGCCCAGAGAACCCCCCTAGAGCCTGCAAGAGGAGCACAGGGGCCCCTTTCAGCCCTCTCCCACGGGGCTCCTCCTCTGAGGATGCTGATTAAATGGTTGCACATGCTGCTCGGAATTCAGCTTTCACAGGAAGGGGGACATGAAGGAGGGGAGGAGATGGGTTAGAGAGAGGAGGAGGGAGAAAAAAAAAGTGGAAGCAGAAGGAAAGATGATTAATCAAGAGGCCTGAAGCCGGCAGGACTGGAAGCCACACTGCCCTAGTCCCAATCACTGTCTTTTGCTCTTCACACCCGGCTCCCACCCCCTCCACTTCCCACATGTTCTGGAATCTGTCTCCTCTGAGAGGAGGGTTGAGGAGGTGGCCATGGTGAGACCTCTGTCTGTCCCAGGAAGGGTCTGTTTTCTCAGTTGCTGGTCACATCTGCGCAGTGTGAGGGGGAGCAGCTGTCCCAGGCTTCTGGAATGCACTCAGGGAGTTGAGAAGCCACGACATGGGACAAGGACAGATGGCCCCTCATGCAGGGCCCCTTACTCCCACCTGTCAGGGCGGTCAGGAACTTTGGAGATTCTGAGTAGCAGGACCATGAGACTCAGCAGCACTGAGAAGGAAAGTTCTGGGCATCTTGCCAGTGACAGCAGAGTTTAGGCAGGGGCCCAGAGGCCATCAGAGTGGGAAGGTGCTACACCATCTTGGGCCTGTCTGCCCTTCTAGAAGATCTGATTCGAGAGGGCTCTGAACCCTATCATTCCCACCTACTCTGGAGGGAGTTGTGAAAGCCTAGGGGCTCTGGCACCAGCTATGAGTTTTCTATGAAGTGGCCCTTGAATGGGCAGTCATCACCACCCCCACTTCCTACTCCCTTCCCTAGAAGGTCTCTGAGCCCCACAGGGACTTTTCGAAGCCTTGTTTCGCCCAGTCTCCCCACCTCCTCACCTGGAACTTTTCAGTGGCCCTCTGTCGCTCCTGCCAGCGGCCCTCCAATCTCTGCACAAGGGCTGCCCTGCGCTCTTGGAGGCCGCCGCGCTCGGCCAGGAGTTGCTGCAACTCCAGGCGCCCCTTGCGGGCGCCCTGCACCACGCAACCCAGCCTCTGGCGGGCCTGGCCCAGCGCGGTTTCCATGTGCGCCACGCGCTCCTGGTAGCCGCGCACCGCCCCGCGCCACGCCTCGCCCAGCTGTTGCGCGAGCTCCTCGACTTCGGGGCCCGGCGCCGGGGGCCCGCAGGGTAGGCCGGGGCAGCACCGGGGCCCAGCGGCCCGCACGGTCAGGCCCGCGCGCTCCTCCTCGTGCGCGGCGCGCAGAGCCTCTAGTTCGCGCTCCAGCTCCGCCGCCCGGCTGCTCAGCCAGGCCTGGGCGCACTTCTCCGCCTCCACCGCACGCCGGCTGCCGGCCACCTCTTCCGCCGTCCGCTCGCGGGCCAGCCGCTGCTGCTGGCACCGGCCCGCCACCCTCTCCACCTCTTCCATCAGGTTGTCGCGCGCCACCTCGGCAGCGTGCTTCTCCCGCCACCGCTGGTCGACGAGGGCCCGCAGAGCTGCCAGCTCCTCGTCGGCACCGGCCCGCCAGGAAGCGTCCCCGGACTGTGCCCGGAGACCGACGAGCTCCGCGCTGAGCAGCTCATAATGTTCCTCTAGCGCCTTGACCCGGGCCAGGTAGGCCTCTAGGCGTCGGTTGAGCTCCCACATCTGAAAAGATTCCTCTCCCAGGCAGCCCTCCATCCTGCCCGTCTGACCTACCGAAGATGGAGAGACGCTGGGTATCGGGAGAAGCCAGCGGCTCTCAAAGCTTTTAGGATAGAAGGGAAAAGGAGACCGATGGGGACAATGACAGGGCAGGGTGAAGAGCAGCCTGAGCGACAGGAGTCCGGAGTGGGAGCGAGGCTATTCATACTCCCGCCAGTCTGGGGGGGGGGAGGGGGGAGGCGGGACCTAGGCCTTAACCCCTTAGAGTGGAGAGGAACAGCGACATCCTCTGTGCTGGATGGAGAGTGGAACTAAAGGAAATGCCATGCCTGGAGAATCTGACCCGGTGGTGGTGGCTTTCTGAGGGAGGAGGCAGTGAAGAAGGGTCATAACCCCGGATAAAGGCAGATTATACGCAGAACTGAGCCTGTGGAGGGGGTGCCAGGGCATTCAAGCCTGGGAGAGAAGTCTCATCTCAGTTACTCAGCACACACAAGAAAGGTATCATTTATTGAATTCCTCTAAGACTCAGTCTCTTCATCCATAAAATAGGAGCAGTGATGGAAATTCCATGGTTTTGTAAAATGCAAATGCTCACCCACCCAAAATACTGAAAGAAGGCACCGTTGCAAAGAGAGGTAAGAGAGACACTGCCTGGGAAAAAAAAAGAACAGATATGTCATATTGCGAGACTCTGCACATGTACATACATACATACACCCTATTGCCTCTGTGTGTCCATCAGAAATTGGAAAGATCAGGAGAAAGTCAGGAGCGGAAGGTGCTGCTGCAGCAGCCAGGACCCCGCCCTTTACTGACTGCCTCTTCCACATAACCTGAGGTTCATAAACCCACCTTACTTAGTCCAAGGCCTCTCCCAGTCTCAGGGAAGGCTGCCACATCCTGTCCTAGGTGTCAGGGACTTTTGGGCAGAGGTTGCCCCCTGGTGGCTTACAGACCAGGCCAAGAAGAGGAAGCAGAAAGAAGCAGCAGTTCTTTCCTTATCACAACTAGCCCAGATTTATTGAGCCTGTGTGATGTGCCAAATCGTGTTCTAACAGTTACATTATATGGCTTAATCCTCAAAACATCCCTTTGATGGTTCTACATTTCAGGAAGCAGAGATGGAAGGAAATAGTTGGGAAGGCCTTCTGAAGGAGGAGGGGTCCTCCTCCTGGGTAGTGAGAGACTGTAGATTTGGGGTATGCATGGGAAGCAGGGTCAGAGGAGGAGAATCAGGGATAATGAAACCGAGGGATCTTAGGGAAGGAATTTTTGCTCACATAAATCCAATTTAGCTCTACAAATGTTAATGAGCACCTACTATGTGTCAGTGCTCAGTCCCAGCACAGGAGTTCGTAGTTGGTGATGTGAGAGCAACAGTGATGGTTGATTATAATCTGGTGATGGAAGTAGACATAAGATTATTGCTCCTCTTAGCTCCCAAAGTGTCTGCAGAGAGTTGGGAAAGCACAGAGAATGGAGAGAGTTTTCTGGGTTACAGGAAGGTCAATGACCAGGAGGCCATCCTTACCCATCCCCAGGCAAGCTGGGACTTAGAATTCACTATCAACATATGGATTGGACGCCAGGAGGGCCAATGGGTGTGGAATGGGAGGAGCAACTGAGGGTTAGTGTAGACGGGGAGGCTGAGGCTTCTCCATCCTTACATCACCTTACAAATCCTGCTGTTTGGTTTTGGCTGGAGGCTTCCCAAGAGTTGTGTCCAGGGGAACTGACTGGGGTCTCTTCCTCCTCTTTCACTTCCTCCCTATGGGAAAGAGATATGCTGATTACTTGGGATCCCCTGGAATCCTTAGGGAGGTCCCCTGGAGAGGTGGGGTGGCATTGGGGAGGGTGAATTAATTTCCTGGGTCCCTTCCTCTTATGCAGAGGGGAGACATTTGGCACTGTGCTTCATGCAGAGAGCACTGGGTCTGACATTTGCACTTTCTAGCTGAATGACTTTGGGAAAGTCACATAACTTCTGTGAGTCTCAGTTTACCTGTTTGATAAGGGAGGTTAATACTTACCCATCACCATAAGTTTTATTTGAATATCAAACAAGACCAAGTTTGGGGAGGTCTTTGTACAAAGTCATTTAGCTAGAGCAAACTCTCCTCCCTCCCATGAACCACTCTCAGTGAGTTTTGGGGATCATGGGGAGCACAGATTATCTAGAATGCTAGAGAAGAGTATGGTCTTGATTTTTCCTAACGCAGGAGAAGGTGGGTTTTAGCTCCATCAATGCTCAGCTGATTCTAAGCAGATAACTAGTATTTAAAGCAATGAAAACAGAAAAGTGAGGCCCTGCATAGGGCCAGCAGGCACTTGGTGGGCCAAGTGTCCTCCTCTCCTCCCCCAGGACTTGCGTTGGATTACTGAGATTTTTGTGAGGTCTTTGGCTATACTTCTTGTGTTTCTGGGCCCAGGACACATGGGCCATGTGATACTACAGTGGTGGATACAAAGTTCAATAGCTGTCCCCAGAGATGTTCATGAGCAAGCAAGTTGAGGAGGGCTCTGGGCTGTCTCCCTGGATTCTGTCCTTGGTCCTGAGTGTTATGGATTTTTATTAAAGACTTGAATGAAAACATAGAAGATTTATCAAATTCACAGATTATGCAAGAACTAAGAGTTAGATTTTGACACAATAGAAAAAGAATGAATCAGCCCTGGCTGGTTTGGCTCAGCGGTTAGAGCGTCGGCCTGCGGTCTGGAGACACCCGGGTTCGGTTCCCGCTAAGGGCAAGTACCTCGGTTGCAGTTTGTCCCCGGCCCTGGTTGGTCGTGCGGGTGGCAGCCACTCGATGTGTCTCTTTCACATCGATGTTTCTCTCTCTCTCTCTCTCTCTCTCTCTCTCTCTCTCTCTCTCTCTCCCTCCCTCCCTCCTGCTCTATCTGAACAAAGAATGAAAAAGTGTCCTTGGGTGAGGATAAAAAAAAAAAAAAAAAAGAATGAATCAGATGGCATTTAATAGAAATAAATGTAAAATTCTGCTTTTGGTTTTTTAAAAAAATTAACAGCACATTTTATAGGGGTCAAGATGATGGCATAGGTTAAAATGGTACTCACCTCCTCCCACAACCACATCAGAATTACAACTAAACTACAGAACAACCATCATTCAGAACCACCTGAAATCTGGCTGAATGGATGTCCTACAACTAGGGATTTAAAGAAGAAGTCACCACCCTGGCCAGTTTGGCTTAGCAGCTGAGCGTCAGCCTGCAGGCCAGAAAGTCCCAGGTTCGTTCCTGCTGGGGGCACGTACCACAAAAAAATAATAATAATAATATTAAAGAAGAAGCCACATTGAGACTGGTAGGAGGGGCAGAGGTGCTGAACGAGCTGGCCCCACACCCACCTGTAGCAGTTTCTAATCGGGAGGGATATCTTGGCCGTGGAGGTCCTACCTGAGGACCGAGGAGTCCCAACCCCCCACCAGACCTTTCAGCTGAGGGTTCCAGTGCTAGGAAGAGAAGTCCCCATATCTTTGGGCTGTAACATCCGGCAGGGATTGTGGCTGAGTGACATGGAGGCTTCTGAAGTCCCAGACAGTTTCTCTTAAAGGGCCTGTACACAAATCCACTCCCTCTGAGCTCCAGCATTGGGGAGGAACCAGGGACATACGGGGAGGAACTAACTTCTCTGGCACTAGGGCAAGAGCTGGGGGCATATTTCTCCCAGAAAATAGTGCTGGCAGAGGCCATTGTTCCTTTGCTCAGCCCTACGGACCTCAGAGCCATCAGGCAGGCACCATATCTGAGTCTCCATCAACCTGGCTTACTCTCTTCACTGGGCCCACCCAGGTGATTCCCTGAGACCTCAACCTCACCAACTTGCAGGCTTATCCAAGCTGTTTCCAGTGGCTTTTCCATATGAATGGCTTTTGCTTCAGACTTTCCTAAAATCTTTTTTTTTTTTTTAATCCTCACCCAAGGACATTTTTCCATTTTTTTGTACAGATAGAGTGGGAGGGAGAGAGAGGAAGAGAGAGAGAGAGAGAAACATCGACGCGAAAGAGACACATCGAGTGGCTGCCACCCGCATGACCAACCAGGGCCAGAGACAAACTGCAACCGAGGCACATGCCCTTAGCGGGAACTGAACCCGGGTCTCTCCAGACCGCAGGCCGACGCTCTAACCACTGAGCAAAACCGGCCAGGGCCCTAAAATCTTTTAAACAAGCAGTAGCTGACCTCAGCGAGCCCCATACTCTAGCTAAGCAGCCCCAGGCCCGGCACTAGCAGCTGCCCGCCTTGGTTCACAGCTTGGTCTCTCCTGGGCACCTCCAAGCCCAATACAAGTAGCAGCCATCAGCAGATCACTATGTAGCTCATGCCGGGTGGCCCCAGGCAGGTCATAGGCAATAGCTGACTTTGCACCTCGAGGGAGACCCTAGAGCCAGTGCACCCAGTGGTCAGCTTTAGACCACACCAGATTACAACCCTACCACCTCCATGAGCAACTTACTCAAGGCGCAGATTTATTGAGCACCAAAGACCTACTGAAGTTCTGCCCCATAGGGTCAGCTCCTACACAGCCACTCTTTGATTGTAGTCGGAACTTGTCCTCACAGCTGATTGGCCTGGAGGTCAATCCCTCCCAGTGACATCAACAGTAATCAAGGCTCAACTACAATAAGACAGTGCACCCAGCCCACACAGTGGTACACCTGGAGTGCCCAGCTCAGGTGACTGGGGAGGCTGAGCCACTAGGCCCTACAGGAACTCTACAACACAAGGCCACTCTATCAAGTCTGGGAGACATAGCAGCTTTACTTAATACATAGAAACAAACACAGAGAAGCAGCCAAAATGCAGACACAAAGAAACATGTTGCACATGCGAGAACAGGAGAAATGTCCAGAAAAAGAACTAAATGAAATGGAAGCAAGGAAACGATCAGATACAGAATTCAAAACAATGGTTATAAGAATGCTCAAGGAACTTAGAACATCAACAACATAAAAAAGGTCCAGTCAGAAATAAAGGATACACTAAGTGAAATGAAGAATAATTCACGGAATCAATAGTAGAGCAGAGGACACTGAGAACCAAATAAAAGACTTGGAATATGAGGAAACAAAAAAACACCCGATTAGAACAGAAAAAAAAGAAAAGAATTCAAAAATATGAAGATAGTGTAAA